CTTCTTCCACCCTGGCAGAGGGCCATGGAGAGCGGAGTGTACACCCCTGTAGTGGCTCACACCCACATACACACACTCATGGGCACACACATGGACATAGGCATGCAGACACATGGGACATGCGTGTGCAGGCACACCTGGCAGACACACACACACGGCACATATACAGGGACACAGACATGCAACGGCACACACAGACACAGGCAAACACACAGGTGCATGTACATGCAGACACACACAGAGGCACATACACATGCAGGTGCGTGTGCACATGCAGGCACACACACACAGGTACTTACAGATGCGTGTGCACGTGCAGGTACACAAGGAGCTGTGCCCTGTCCATACTTGGTGATGTTTCTGACCTGGAGGCAGGAAGCAGGCAGCATCAGAATGGCCCAAGGCCGTGCAGGTCTGGGTCTGGTGCTGCTGGTTGACGTGGAGAATATACTCACTCCCATTCCCCGGGCTGCTCCTACTGGGACCAAGCAGAACAGGTCTGGCTTCTCAGGAGTGTTGTCTGCAGCCATGGTTCCCTGGCAGCCAGATGGGTCAGCATAGCGTCACCTCAACCCACTGCTTTGACTCTTCACAGTCAGGGAGGGAGTCATGGTCAGGATCTTTAGGAATTGAGATCTCTGTGAATCTTAGAAAACATGATTTTTTTTCCTCATCACAGATATTCAAAACTTGTATTAGAGATCACTCCCCAACCTCATTTCTCAGCCTTCATCACAGATGGCAGTGTGAAATTTCTCAATCTCTGGATAGAAAAGTCAACTCTTGCATTGGCCGGGAATCGAACCCGGGTCTCCCGCGTGGCAGGCGAGAATTCTACCACTGAACCACCAATGCTTCTGCTGTTTGTGGTTGTGGAGCAATCCCCTTTAACCCCACCCAGGCCTGAGCCTCTGTGTCTGTGCCAGTTTACAGCATATGGGGCTGGGCTCTGGAGCTGCCACATCACACAGCTCAGAAACAGAAAGTTGGGCTCCTGGACAGGAAGGGCGAAGGGAGAATTGATAAACCTTCAGACCTCAGGCAGAAGCTAAACCTCAAGTTCATCTTCTCTGTAGCAAACGGCATTGGGACTCGGGGTGACTTGTTCCACCTGAGGCTAGGTCTTCTGTTCCATGTTTCCTTTTGTTTTGGGCAGTTTTACAGTTCTCATGTTTCACCTCGTTTCCTTCTGGCGGCTGGCCAAGGCTGAGGAATACAGAGGGGGCTTGAAGCCTTGACCACAGCCTAGTGGTTCTTCAAGAGATCCAGTTGCTGCTGTTATATCTTTGCTCAGTGTGGCACCTTGTGGCTGATGTGACTAGAAGCTGACTGTAACAGTGTGTCTAAGTGAGAAACTTGCAAGAAAAGGGGGGTGAGGTGGAAAAAGACCAGCACTGCATTGGCCGGGAATCGAACCCGGGCCTCCCGCGTGGCAGGCGAGAATTCTACCACTGAACCACCAATGCTCTAGCTGTCAGCAACTGTGGAGTGACTCCCTTTAACCCCACCCAGCTCTGTACCATTGGCTTATGGCATAGGGCCTGGACTCCTGAGGGGGGGAGGGGTGTGTGTGTGTTTGTGTGTGTTCATTCATTCATGTGTTCATCTAGCCTCCTCAGTAGAAACAATCAATGTGACTTAGGGTGACTGTGTCCCACCTGAGGCTAGGTCCTCCTTTCCCCCTTATTCTTTGCTTTTAGTGTCTTGGCACAGTAAGGGACACTTCAGGTGAAGGACATGGAACCCTGATTAGCACCCAGTGGTTCTCTGGAGGTCCAGCCGCTTGCTAAGTATGACCCCAGATCTCAGGGTCTCATTGGTGTTCAACCAGTGTGGCTGGGAGGCCAACTCCTGTAGCAGCATCTCCAAATGAAAAAAGATTACAAGAAAAGGAACATGCACAAAAGCAGCATTGCATTGGCCGGGAATCGAACCCGGGCCTCCCGCGTGGCAGGCGAGAATTCTACCACTGAACCACCAATGCTCCAGCTGTTCTGCAGGGCAGCAACCACTGGGACATCCCTGAGCCACCTCTGGCTGGTTTTTCTGGTTTGAAGCTGGGCTGGGTTTATGTAGGGCAAGACTGCCTGGGAGCTGGCATTCAACTTCCACACATGGCCCTTGGCTCATCCATGGTCCTAAGCCCTATAAAGAAGTGAACTTGAGGGGCCTCCCAAGCTACTTGTGCAAGCCCTTCGTCAAGTATCCCGTCCTCCCTAGGCTCCCAGGCCAGGCCCACAACTGTGCTTCTCATTCCTCAGACTGGCTCTCAACTCTATGCGACAGACGAGCCCTGTGCCTGGCAGCTTTCCTGTGAGGCAGTTAGAGTAAGATTCTTCCCAGCAGTAACGTCTGAAACTCTGCAGTCTCTAGACCGCCCTGTTCATGCTCCAACAGCTGCTGCACTTGAATCTGCCTCTCCTGCCTGGGTGACCCAGCCTGTCCACCACCCCATCCATCTCAGGCTTGAGGTGCTCTCTCCTTGTGCCCCTCAAAAACCACACGAAGTCTGCGTTCAGGGCTTAGTAGTGGAAAATCATATTCCTTAAAGGGCAGAGTTGCACAGCCAGTATTGTACTTGCTGTCAGTAAGATGTATACCTATAAAAAGCTTAGTTGGCAAGAATTGAGTGATAGATATGTTTACACAAGTAACATTTTAAAAAAGAGTGATTCCTGATATTGTTTATATACAACCTAAAGCCTCACAGGATTAGGTTGTTGGTTTCTGGTTTTATGAGACATCTCCACTAATTAATTGGCCAGATAACACGTTTAATGCTTATTTTCTACCTCTTTGTCTCTTGCATGGTGCCAGGGTCTTGACAGCTGCAGTCCAAGGCTGGGACATCCCTGGTCGCCCCTGGTTACTGCCAGTTGGCATCTGTCCACCTGGAGTAAGCGGAGGGAGGAGAGTCAGGGATAGGAGGAACCTGGAATGTGTGATCCAGAGTGTCCTTCAACAACTGCCTCCTTGGCTAAGAGACCAGAAGTGGATGGTGTTTGCCACAATTACTGAATATTCACCAAAAGGGAGAAAATGTAGAACAGAATTTCCAATTCTGATGGGCACTATGGTTTCTGGAGCCTTTCCCATGGAGGATGGGTGAGCCCCGAAATGCCTGCCCTGAGATAATCTTTAAAAGTTAAGCTAGTTAGAAATGTCCCCTGAAGTTTCCCAAAACCTGACAATAGTTTAGCTAAACTAGTAAAATGACACAAATCTGTCTTGAACGCTTGTGTTCTCTTAAGAACTATCTGCACTGGATCAAAAGAAGCTCTGGTGGCCTGGTCGATGGAAAATTGTGTCCCTCTGGTCCGTGGGAAATAGAGTCCCTTACAAGTCTGTTCCGACGAGGTGGCAGTGAGTGAATAATGTGGGATCAAAGGTACAGTCACTCGGAAGCTCAGGAATCTCAGAGGCGCAGTTTCTGTTAACAGGAGAGAACACCTCAGGGGAGGAGGCTGAGGGTGGTTACACGGCTCACAGGATGTCATCAGTGTCACTGAATTATGCCTGTTGAAATGGTGGAATTAATTGGTTGTATGTTTTGCTCTGCAATTTTCAACAAAAACAAAATAATTGTAAGGGAAGAGAGGAAGGTTTGACAAATGAAGACGGCACAGTTCGTGCCCGTGATGAAAATCTGTTCTCATGTTGGCGTTCTGGAAGTCCATGCCAGCCAGTCCTGGCTGGTACCCCACCTGTGGTCTCTGGAGCGCCCTCCTGCCCTGTTCTCACTGCTCCTTCTTTCTGTCCCCAGTGCCCCGCTCCTCCTTTCTCCCTGCCGCTTTCACTTCATCCCACTTCCAGATTCCCGAGCCACAGCGTCACCCCCAGAGCTCAGTTCTGTGGCCACGTGACCGTTTCCCACGTGGGGCCTCTCACGGGCGCCCGGTCAGTTGCAGAGCTGGTTCTGCCCCTGCCCTGGGAGGTGTCACATGGCCTGGCGGTGGGTGCCCTCACCCACCAAGGTCACCACGTATCCCGCTGGCCGTTCCCACTCAGCATCACGTCCCAGGTGGATGTGTGGAGTCCTCGTTCACTTCTCCCCTTCCCATCACATGGCTGCTGGCGCCCTTCTGCGTGATGGTGCAGCACACAGTCAGCGCCTTCTGCCTCCTCACAGCTGTGACGTACTCCTAGGGGACGTTCTCCTGGGGGGCCTTCTCCTTCTGTCAGCTCAGCCCCTCCAGAGTGCTCTCGGAGTCACCTCCTCACAGCACAGGGCCGGCCACCTCCTCACAGCACAGGGCCGGCCATGCGCATATTTCCCTCGGTCACCTGCCCCTTCGCTGTCCCCAGCCATCTCTTCTACGCACCAGGCTCCTTGTCCTTCCCCTAAAGATGCTGACAGTTCCCAGGCTCTTTGCTTCTGGTGCAGGTCTTCCATCTGCCTGAGATGCCCTCCTCCCTTCTTTACCTGGAAGATGCTGGTGTGTATCTTGAAGCTCTGACTCAATGACACCTCTTCCTTCAGCTCCCCTGGACATCCCAGGGTCGGCCCGTTGCACTTGTCACGCTTCTGGGTGTTTCTCGGGCCTCTTTGCAGTGGTTTTCTACAGGTGCAGTGCAAAGCAGATTTCACATAATGGCTTGTCTATATGTGTGTGTTGCCTCTTAGACTGGGGTCTGAGTCAGCTGCACAGGGTCCCCACCAAAGGGGTGTGTGCCAAAAGTTAGAGCAAATGTTGAGTAAAGTCTTGTTTGATCAAAGGATGATGCATTGCCATTTGAGGTCCCAAAAAAAACATTCACTTTCACTCTCTAAACTTTGCAGAAGTGAGGTCACATCACTGTTCCTCATTCCATTATCCACAGAGGAAAGTGAGAAGCGGAGTAGGGAACCCGTCCAGCATCTCCCAGACAGGGGCCCGACCGGGGCCCCCCCTGAAGTCCTCGCTCCCATGTCCTGTTTCCACCACCACATCCCAGCCGCAGGCCCTGCCCCAGCAGCACGGTTCCCCTGGACCTGTAGCCCCTCTCTGCTCTCTTTCCAGGCTCGTCCGGGAGTTCGTGGCCCAGAACAACACCGTGCAGATCAAGCAGGTGATCCAGACCTTGTCTCAGGAGTTCGCCCTCTCTCAGCACCCCCACAGCCGGAAGGGGGGCCTCATCGGCCTGGCCGCCTGCTCCATCGCGCTGGGCAAGGTGGGACTTTTTCCCCAAAGGACACGCACAGCATAATGGCCACGCTCCCACCAAGGCCTGTGTGCTCCCCACTCTTCCCACACCCGAGCCCGGCCTGGATGGCTCTGATTTGGCAGCCTGGTTCCCGGGCTGCACCCTGAGGGGGCCGACTTGGGGAGGGTCTGTGAGCCCAGCCTGAGTGGAGACCTGAGCACGGCAGTGGGCACAACAGGCCTGGGGACCCGGCCTGGCCTGTGCTGAGCACCCCCTCCTCCGACCCCCTGCAGGACTCAGGACTCTACCTGAAGGAGCTGATTGAGCCGGTGCTGACCTGCTTCAACGACGCCGACAGCCGGCTGCGCTACTACGCGTGTGAGGCGCTCTACAACATCGTCAAGGTGGCCCGCGGCGCCGTGCTCCCCCACTTCAACGTGCTCTTCGACGGGCTCAGCAAGGTAACGTCCCTGCCACTCCCAGCCAGCCCTGTCCTCCAGCCACCACCACCGTCACCAGCCCTGTCCTCCGGCCACGGTCACCAGCCCTGTCCTCCGGACACCATCACCAGCCCTGTCCTCCGGCCACCGTCACTGGCCCTGTCCTCTGGCCACTGTCACCAGCCCTATCCTCCGGCCACGGTCACCAGCCCTGTCCTCCGGCCACCGTCACCGTCACCAGCCCTGTCCTCCGGCCACCGCCACCGTCACTGGCCCTGTCTTTCAGTCCCGGCCACCATCACTGGCCCTGTCCTCTGGCCCCGGTCACTGTCACAGATCTGTCCACCAGCCCCAGCCACCTCCACCTTCAGGCCAGGAGTGCAGGGCTGCGGGGAGCGCTTAGGGCCTATTGAATCTGATAATTTTCTTAAAAAAAGGACATGTTTATGATTTATTTCTTATTTCATTTCTCTAATAGCTCATGCATACTGCATTTTACTGAAGTGTTGGTTCACCTCGGATTGGAGGGGTGGGAACCTCATGATTTAATAGACACAAAGCTCCCTGAGCTGGCAGGGAGTCAGTTCTACCTACAGTGACTCGTCCCGCCCCATCTGACAGTCGTTGTGTTTTGGCTGCTGTTGCAGCCGCTGAGAGTCAGTCCATCTCCTGATAGCATGTCCGGAGGATGAGAGGAAGGCCACTGTCCCCACAGTGTCCTTCAGAGTCCACACTGCGTGTCCCCCACGAGGAGGACAGGGAAATCCTTAGAGTTGCCACAGCTCCTCTCAGCTTCATGGAGTTCCCCTCCTGGGGGCAGAGCAGCCAGGAAGCCCTCCTACCACAGCTGAGTCCCACAGACCTTTCTCGAAGCTGCCCTGCCCCCTCCCACAGGCACAGAGAAAAGAGCCAGTGTTTTCAGACCGAAACCCCTGAAGAAGGCCGATGGGAGACAACCACGTGGCCCAGTTACAGAGGGGGCCGAACCTCCCACAGACCACAGGAGCAGAGCCTGGGCACACGGGAGACCCTCTGTGTCTCGGTTCCATCCTGCCCACCCTCACCCCCTTCCTTAGTCTTACCCTGCACGAGGAGTGGCCACTCCTGTCCGCACTGGGGCCTGAGCCATGGTGTGTCGATGCTGATGTTGCTTCTCTCCATTTTCCTGCTGTTTCTCCCCAGCTGGCTGCTGACCCAGACCCCAATGTGAAAAGTGGATCTGAGCTCCTCGACCGCCTTTTAAAGGTAATTGCTCTTTGTCCCCACTTTAAAGTTGAATTTTTAGAGTCTCATCTCTTGCATCTGTTTGTACCGCTTCTAATTCTGTGTCGTGGGAGATCCACTCTGACGTTTTTAGATTTGTGTACAACTATCTGACAAGTGCACGGAGTTATTGTTGCCACTGCAGTCAGCGCACAGGACTGTCCCTTAAAAATGCCCCCATGGTCCTTACCCGAGTATGGACGAGAGTGACAAGGAGCTGAGCTCACGGCACATTCAGTCCAGACCAGAGCTGTTTTGCCTGTAATCAGTGCTCCTGTCCGATTCCTGCTTTCACTCCCAGTTCTGTGTGTCCCACAGCCAGAGAGAGAGGCTGTTCCTGGGACCTCCGCTGCCATTGCCCTCTCTGGCCGCCAGGGGCAGCATTGGGCCAGTCCTGGCAGCGCCAGGTCTCAGCTCTCAGCTGCTCGTGCTTCTTTTCATCCACAGGACATTGTGACCGAGAGCAACAAGTTTGACCTGGTGGGCTTCATCCCATTGTTGCGGGAGAGGATTTACTCCAACAACCAGTACGCCCGGCAGTTCATCATCTCCTGGGTGAGAGTCCAGCCCACCGAGGCTTTCTGCGGCCGGATCGAGCCTCTGGTTCAGTCGAGTCTGCTGGCTGTAGCATCCTCGGCAGGTCCTTTAACTGGAAGGACAGCCTGTGGTCGTTGAGCTGATGACGACTCCTACGGTCCTGCAGGCCAGAGTAGAATGGCCCCCGGTACTTTCTAGGCTGTAACCTTCAAATGACCAGGTCTTTCTCTCACAAAGCCCCTGGATGGGTTTGAACCACTGAGCTTACAGTTATCGGCTGAGGGCTTAACCACTGCACCGTTAGGGTTTCTTCGCCAGAGAGAAGGCCTCACGGTTAGCCTTCTGATAGCAACTGACAGGAGAGGATCTGAGAGCACAACACTTACAACCCCCCAGAGCCCATCTTGTTCACGTGGAAGGGCGTACGGTTCCCTCCTGGCACCAGAAGTGTCCAGATTTCTCCTCTTTGAAGCCAGCATTGCTGCGTCCGCCTGTCACTCTCCTCTAGGCTCACATTCTTGCCTCCTCTGTCCCTTGTTCCCTGGCATGACCCTTTCAAGAGTTAAATTATCTCCTTTGCAAAGAAGTGAGCTTGTAGACCATGATGTCTCGTGGCGTACTAAGCAAGACCCTGTCCTCCCTGCCCAGCCCCTGGAGACTAGCTGACCAGGACACAGAGGCCACCGGGCTAATGCCACGCTTCTGTTTTTCTTCCCCCGGGTCAGATCCTGGTTCTGGAGTCGGTGCCAGACATCAACCTGCTGGATTACCTGCCAGAGATCCTAGATGGGCTCTTCCAGATCCTGGGAGACAATGGCAAAGAGATTCGGAAAATGTGAGTGGAGCAAAGGGGCAGGCAGCTGGCCGTGGTCCCCAGCACAGAGCCTGGCAGCGAGAGGAAGGCGACAAATTCCCATCTTTATGCCCGCAGACTTTCTCCCGGTGGGCCGAAGGTCTCCTCAGCCCCCAGCCTCCACAGAACGATCCTCTGGAGAGGAACGTGGCTGAGGCCCTTCTAGACCTGACTGATGTGAGCTGTGTTCTCCTTTCCTTGATAGGTGTGAGGTGGTTCTTGGAGAATTCTTAAAAGAAATTAAGAAGAACTCCTCCAGCGTCAAGTTTGCTGAGATGGCCAACATCCTGGTCATCCACTGCCAGACCACAGGTGAGTGTGTGGGGGCCGCCGGCAGGCAGGCTGCCTTTCTGGCCATCTCAGAGCTTCGGGACGGTCGAGAGGGCCCAGAAGGTGTGCTGGCCAGCATAGCACTGGACTCTGGGGACTGTAGGGTAATGCATCCTTCTGATAAAATGACTCACGTTCCTGGTCACCATGGCAGTCCTTTCCCTTGGTGTGGCCTGGGATGGAGCAAGACCCAGAGCCTTGCTGGCCAGCTGAACATTTACACTGAGGGACGAAATGCTTGGAGGTTAAGGTAGTTTGGATCTTAGTTTCTGTTGCGTAACAAATCACCACAAAACTTAATTGCTTAAAACAATAGTCATTTACAGTCAGCCCTGAGACTGGACCAGCTGGGTGGTCTCGCTCACCTGGGCCAGGCCTGGCTCCATCAGCACATCTCCTGCCAGCTGGAGAGAGCTGCTTGGCGCTGGGTGGTCTGAGATGGGTGCAGTCATGTCTGGTGCTCTGCCGGCTATCAGCTGGGAAAGGGGGGTGATTGGCCTCCGTGTCTCCTCATCCAGAAGGCTAGCCTGGGCGCCTTCATGCAACAGGGAGAGGGATACCGGAGACACAGCAGAACGAACAAGGCCACTTGAAACCTAGGCCTGAACCCGGCACACCAGCTCTGTACCACGTCAGAGGAGGAAAGCCAGGCCAGCATCGCACAGTGGAGGCATAAACTCGGCCTCTTAAGGGGCAGAGCTGCACAGTCACATTACTGAGAGCATCAGCGTGGGGAGGGGCATAGGGAGGGATGAGGATCGCAGACAGTCTTACAAACTAGTGCAGGACTGCAGGACGGACCTCCATTCTCACCTGAACACCTGTTTACTTTTGGAAGTCAGAAAGCAAGGGGGAGAGAGTCGGTGGCAGTGTGGTCGGTGGGAGGGGAGCACTGGGCTTCTCATGCCGACCCCTGGCCCTCGTCCTCCTGCAGACGACCTGATCCAGCTCACCGCCATGTGCTGGATGCGTGAGTTCATCCAGCTGGCCGGCCGTGTCATGCTGCCCTACTCCTCTGGGATCCTGACCGCTGTCCTGCCCTGCCTGGCCTATGACGACCGCAAGAAAAATATCCTTAGCTCTAGGGGAAGAGACACAAACACAGCCCCAAAAGGGTTGGGATGTTGCGGGACAGCTAGGATTTACCGCAATTCAAAACGGTCCTCAGGGACAAAGGGCAGAACAGGGTCACACAGCTAATGCTGGCCGTCCCCAGAATCTACCTGGTGTGGACAGAGAGGAGCCACCCGCCTGGTCCCCAGGTCCCAACCTCTAAGCTGATGCTGTTCCGCCCTGGGTAGGGGGCATCCTGTAGGTGGGAGAGCCCCTAGGGAGGGTCCTTACAAAAAGAAACACTCTATCTTGGGAGGCACAGGTGTGACACTGAGAACAGAACTCGATCAGACTGCCTGTCTCTCCTTTCCCAGAAGCTCTGGGAGGGCAGCTCCCCTGACCAGGAACACCAGGGTCTCAGGTATTGGGGAGACATCTCTCTCCCCGCCCTGGGCAGGACTGCTCCTTACATCAGTGCCCTCAGGCATCAAGGAGGTGGCCAACGTGTGCAACCAGAGCCTCATGAAGCTGGTCACCCCCGAGGATGACGAGCCGGACGAGCCCAAGCCGGCGGGGCAGAAGCAGGCAGAGCCCAGTGCCGACGACTCCTTGGCAAAGCAGGAGGGGACCACGGGTGAGTAGAGCCTGTCTCCCCAGAGCCTTGAGTCTTGTGAACCCCAGGGCTGTAGCTGCTATTGCCTCAGCGCCAGGGGAGGCACTCCCACCTTCTGCTGCACCAGCATCCTGTGTGGTGTGAGGCCGGACCACAGGGCCCGGCAAGGGGTGTCTAGACGCGCCTTGCCTGGCAGCCTGCCCCATGCCGGTGAGCCCTTGCCTGACTCATTGCTGACGTCTCCAGGTTAAGTCACCAGAGTGGAGTAACAGTAACGATCATGTAAGCAGCGTTACCGCGTGCTGGCCTTGCTGTGTGTGCTCGGTACACATTGTCTGGCTGTCTCCTAGTGAATTCCAGTGAGGAAGAAATTATGTCCGTTCTGCAGATGGGCAGAAGGAAGACAAGTACGATGCCTAGGACCTGGCAGCTTCTAAGCAGAGGAGTTGAGGTTTGAACCCAGGCACGAGGCCTCCAGAGTCCCTGCATTTAACCCCTAGGCTGTATCACTTAAAGACTGTGAACCTTTTCCTTAGTCTTTCCCAAGAACTTGAGGTTTTCCTCCCTGGGGCCTCCACCCCCAGGAGAGATTGTTCATGACTTTTGAGGGGACAGAGGGGCCCTCTTCTGCAGAATCAGCCAGACAGCAAAGGGACACACCTGCTTCTCTAACCTTTAGGGCTGGCTGACCAAGGTCTGAGCCTTCCCCGGGGACTAAAAGAACACCTGAACCTTTTTCTCCTCTTTATGAGAAAGACTGCCCAACTTTGTCCCAAGGAGCAGCTGGTGGATTTGAACCACTGACCTTTTGGTTAGCAGCACAAAACAACACACTACATTACCAGGCCCGATGATGAGTCACTATAAATTGGAACCGACTTGGCAGTGGTGGGTGAGTTTTTCCTCCCCTGGCTATTCTCAGACTTCTTTGAATGTTCCATTGTCTCCCCTCGCAGCACTTCAGGTCCGCGTGGCCCTGTCCTCCTCCCTGTGCTTGGCTAGTGGAGTAGAGAGCATTCCCCGCTGGCCATCTCAAGTGTCGTATTACAGCTGTGCCGATTGCCACTGCGAACCAAAGCAGCAAAACAGCTGGAGGCAGGGCCATCCCCAGCCAGAGCATTGGTGGTTCAGTGGTAGAATTCTCGCCTGCCACGCGGGAGGCCCGGGTTCGATTCCCGGCCAATGCAGCAGCTAAAACCTTTTTTTGTGCCAGCTCCTTGAGAGAGAAGCCTTGGGGAGATTAGTCAGTGTGATCCTCAAAAACTGGAAGCTTTTCTTACTAGAAAAAACTTAAATCTAAAAAGTAGAACTGTTTCTGTAAACTTGCACCAAGCATAGTATTTTGATTTCTCTGTGTTCCATTTGGGAAAATTTGGAAAAGAAAGAAAGAAAAATACTGCAAAGCAGGACTCAGACTGTCCCCATCAGTGGTGAAGCCCCTGTCAGCAGGTTTTTTAATGTTCCCGCCCAGAGGCGCTCTCTCCTCTGAGACTGAGAGCCTGCAGTTGATGGGACTCCATGTCCTGTGTTTCTGGTTTGTTGGTGTGGTGGGGATTTGGGGTGGGGGAGGCGGGTAGTTTGACAAGCTGTGGCGTGCCGACGTTTTGGATATTTTAGACTGACTTGAAAATTAGTGCCTGTTAATCCGTAGAAACAGAAAGTAGATTAGTGGTTGCCAGGGGGTAGGAGGAAGGGCGGGTTGAAGCTGACTGCTGGTGGATACAGGGTTTTCTAGGGGGGATGATGGGGATTTCTAAAGTTGGGTAGCAGTGATGGTTACACAATTTATGAATTATGAAAACCACCAAATCGTAGTGTTAAAACTGTAAGGTGCCTTTTATGTACATGTACACACACACACACACACACACACACACACACACACACGGAATTTAAAAGCATCTTGTGTGGAAGGAATGCACACCCTCTGCCCCACCCTTTCTGCTTATGTGGCGACCACATCCAGCTCTCCTGGAAAGAATTGCTCCATTCGGCCGTTTGTGACAGCTTCTGAACGCTTCTCTATAAGCTGGAGCATTGGTGGTTCAGTGGTAGAATTCTCGCCTGCCACGCGGGAGGCCCGGGTTCGATTCCCGGCCAATGCAGCCTGCCCATCTTTTTAATGGATTTCCTGAGCATCCTCCAAGAAGCTGCCTGCCCAGGAGAGGATCCGCCTCCAGGCAGGGACATTAGGCCGCTTGGCTCCTGATTTTACTGCCTCATAAACAGCATTCTAGCAGATGAACAGCTCCGTTTATGGTAGTTCCCAGAGACGTCAACAGCTAATTTGAGAGCTTTGCCCCCACAGTCAGGCTGCTCAGCTCCTAACTCTCCACCTTCACCAAGGTGCCTGGGACAGTGTCCCAGCAGGCCCAGCATCAGCAGGATCAGGCATGTCCAGGGTGGTGCAGCCAGAGACCATCGGAAGAGCCAGCCAGTCGGCCAGCAAACTCACCCCTGTCGGTCCCCTCCACTCCAATTCCACTGCCCCACCCTCATCCACCCTGCTGTAGACAGTGACCTCTGACCAGTCGTCCTCCTTGGAATTCCCTCCCTGACTCAGTCCTGGGCGTTCTGTCCCAGGGCCCGGAACCTGCAGAGAGCTTGAGGGCTCGATGGAAGCATGAGGGGAGTTGGGGCTGCGTGGCAGACACCTTGAGAGCCAGCCCTGCACCCTGATGCACTCTGGCCCCTCATCACACCCACGGCCTGGCCCACAAGAAATGCCACACAAAGCAGAGGAGAGGTCACTTTCCTAGGTGGTACTCCTGTTGGGCGAAGGCAAGCCGTGACAAGGCCACAGTGCTCGGAACACAGTCAGCAGCCTTAGGAGTTTAAGATCCATCCTTGGGAAGTACTGGGGTGTCGGTGAGAGTGTTCCATAGCAGCATTCTTTTCAGCAGATAAATTTTAGCTACGGGTTTACTGCACTCGAAGAGGCTCTAGTGTCCTGGGGTGGGGAGTGGCTTGCAGTGGGAGCCACGGAGAAGGCTGTGCTGTGGACGTGAAGCTTGAGCAAAGACTCAGTAGGTTGTGGGGTGAGCACAGCAGGGCTTGCGATGTGGCCATGCAGAAGGACAGCGTGCAGGCTCTGGTCCCAGCGTCCCAGCGGGTGGGGACGGGGCGGGTCAGCGATAGGAAGGTAAGCACCGCTGCCTTGTGTTTCCTTAAGTGATCTGTCAGCAATAGTTTTCGAAGGGCAGGCGGCCTGATCTCCCCTGTTAGCTTTCCTCTTGTCTCACGACCGTGTCCACTAATGAGAACACTAATTGCTCAGCCTCCCGGCTTAGCAGATTCTAGAACATGGGGAAAGACAGTACAGAAATGAGGCGGCACCGCACGGACATTAATGTGGAGCTGAGGAAGGATGACCAGATGCTGGAAAGGGGAGAGGTCAGCACATTTCCTGATGATGCTGCTTCTCCGCTGCAGGAAAACCGCAACGACCAGGGCACTGTGGATTGGTCAGTCAGTCGATGGCATTGTCGAAGGTGTAAATAGTAACAGTTGGGAGAGCCAGCTTCAGGCTAAGCCAACAACCCCCCGTAGACAGCATCATTCGGACGGGCTTGATACCAAACCGTGAGTCCTTGTGGAGCAGAGCTGACTGTGGGCCATTCAGTTTGAATCTGGTTGCGCACCTGCTAACATAGCTTCAGGAACATCCAGACAGACCAAGGCTGTGGTGGATGGAGGTGCCAGCCCAGCTTTCATTTCTCTGTTGGCATCTCACGTTCACATCCGTAAACAGCTGTCTGGAAACAGTGCAGGTCATGGCTCACCTCTCCAAGACTTAGTTATCAGTTAGGGTGCAGTGACCCACTGTGGGGTCTGCTTCCAGTTCCTGATAGGTCATGTGGTTACTTGCCCTGGCCACTTTCAGATCTTTGTTGAAATAAGAATCCTGCACCTTCTGTTAGAAACACACCAGCAGATAACCTATTAGGCTATTTCCTATCTTACTGATGATGCAAATGAACAAATAGAAATGGTTTTGAAAACAGGAGTTATACCCCTACTCGTGAAGCTTCTGGGAGCCGCTGAATTGCCAGTTGTGACTCCTGCAGCAAGAGCCATAAGGAGCATTGTCACGGGAACAGATGCTCAGACTCAGGTTGTGGTAGATTCAGGAGCACTCACAGTCTGCCAGCCTCCTAGCCAACCCCAAAACCAGTGTTCAGAAGGGCTCCACGTGGATAGTGTCAGACGTTGGAGCAGGCCGTATGCAGCAAGCAGTGAATCATGGGTCGGCTCCATTCCTCACTGACATGCTCTCGAAGGCAGATTCAAGACTCCAAAAGAAGCTGTATCGGCTGTGACCAGCTACACACATGGCAGAACAGTTGAACAGCTTGTGTACCTCGTCCGTTGCGGCATAACAGCGCCGTTGATGACCTTTTAACTGAGAAGGATACCACGGTTATCCTGGTGGTTCCGGCTGCTGAGGAAATAGCTAAAACTGAAAAGCTTAGTCTAATGATTAAAGCATGTGGAGGCTTGGACAAAATTGAAGCTCTACAAGACCGTGAACATGAGAGCTTCATTAAACTTGATTGAAAAGTATTTCTCTGTAGAGGAAGAGAGGATCTGAATGTTCTGGAAGCTGCCTCCGAGTTCAGGATGGAACTACTGGGGCCTATAAGTTTGTACAACTGAGTCAAAAACCTGTTTGTTGTGTACTGTGTTTGGTATAAGTTTGTCTTTCTCTACTAAGAACGCTTTATAAATGTGATTTATTAATAATGTTGCATTTTTTTACAACAAAGCTGTATTTGAACAGTTCCAAACTGTACATACAGTATGAGGCCTCTCCACCATTAGAATTCTTATTTCTGTGTGGAATTTTTTATCTTTTGGTGTCCTGTAAATACAATTAAGTGCTACTCTTTAAAAAAAAAACCAAACTCCAGTTTGCGTAGGTCAGTAAGTCAGCTCTGCTCACTGGCTGGCGGGTCCCGTCAGGGTTTGTAAATTTGAAGAGGCCTCGACTCTGTGGATGATGCTTTAGGACTGAGAGAGAG